TTTTTTAGCAAACTCCATGCGGGCTTTCATGTGTCTTGCACTGAGGAGAGGCTTCCGTCAGGCCACTCTGCCATAAAGCCCCGACTGGTGGAGGGCTGCAGTGATGGTTGACTTTCTACAACTTTCTCCCCTTTCATTTAAGGATTATGGAGGCCACTGTGCTCTTAGGAACCTTAAGTGCAGCAGAATTTTTTTTTAACCTTGGCCAGACCTGTGCCTTGCCACAATTCTGTCTCTGAGCTCTAATCTTATAGGCAGTTCCTTTGACCTCATGATTCTCATTTGCTCTGACATGCACTGTGAGCTGTAGGGTCTTATATAGACAGGTGTGTGGCTTTCCTAATCACGTCCAATCAGTATAATCAAACACAGCTGGACTCAAATGAAGGTGTAGAACCATCTCAGGGATGATCAGAAGAAATGGACAGCACCTAAGTTAAATATATGAGTGTCACAGCAAAGGGTCTGAATACTTATGACCATGTGATATTTCAGTTTTTCTTTTTTAATAAATCTGCAAAAATGTCAAAAATTTGGTGTTTTTCTGTCAATATGGGGTGCTGTGTGTACATTAATGAGGAAAAAAATGAACTTAAATGATTTTAGCATATGGCTGCAATATAACAAAGAGTGAAAAATTTAAGGGGGTCTGAATACTTTCCATACCCACTGTATGTACACCTCAATTTTTCAGCTTTAGGTCACATCTAAGATGACAATTCACTGTTATAACATCCCAAATCACTTATTTTTTTACACTAATGCTGCTTTTTATAGAAACCATTCTCACCATTTACTACAGTATAGTAAATGGTGAGAATGGTTAAATCGTGTACCAGTGTTTGCTATCACATACACTGCTGTTCAAACATTTAGGCTCACTTCCATTTTTCCTGTTTTTATTTTGACATTTAAGCATTTTCAAATTCAGTGACTAACTAAATGGTACATGTAATAAGTAAATTTTTTTTCTGAAGCAGTGAAAATAAAAGAATTCTTGAAAATGTTGATTGCCAACGCATTCTCATTCCCAAGCACCTTTTACATCTCATAATGAGGCTAAAGGGTGGCTTTGTCATCCATGTAAGATAGCTGCTCATGGTGTTTCTTACAAAGCAGCATTAATCCACTCGCGTCAGTACACAAAAAAAGACATAGTTATGTTTAAGGAGAAGACCATGGCTTGGGTTGAATCAGTCACAGATTAAAAACCAGTGTAATATACCAGGGTCAAACTCTCTTGTGGGAAAGGACAATGTTTGTTTGACCCATCCATCTGCCCCACACACCTTCTTTCAAGTTTTTCCCCATTGTATACTTGAAAACCCTGTGCGTCTCCCACTGATGCCAAGGGCACACTTGTGGGCTTTTATTTGACACAGAAGGTAACCCTATGTGTGACATACAGACGCCAAAGGTACCTGACAAAACATCAGTATTTGTTACCCTGGGAATGAGACCGGGCTCTGATTACCTAAAATAATCAATTTGATCTGTAAAAAGGTGGTGCTGAGAAGGACTCCATTACTACACCCTTTGAAGCATTACATTGAAAAAGGCAGTTAATAAAGGGCATCAGACCTTTTCAGGGTTTTATCCTGTGGCAGGATAATGACCCAAAAACCACCAACAGGCTGTGTAGAAGAAAAGAACAAGATGGTCAATGATGAAATGGCAGCTTTCCAAATGAAGAGTGAAAGTAAAGCAACCTACAAGTGCAACACATCTGTAGGAACCTCTGCAACAGCGCTATTAAATTTAACCAATGGATGCTGCGGCTGCATGGCATGCACTCACCCAATTTACCCTTAGAACACCACATAGTGGATGATACTTTTTGCTCAAAGCCACAAATTTAAACCTCACTAGAAAAAGTCAGAGGATCACCAAAGTCATTAGGATTCATCTAGCACCTGTTCCAGGGATCCGTACCAAATTTCATGTAACTCCTTCCAGCAACTGTTGATATTTTGGTTTCTATCAAAGTGGAAAACCAATCAACCAACCAAGTCACATTTCCATCAAAGAGCCGTGCCGCTAGCAAGGCTAATGAAGAATAAGTGAAGAAGTCATTATTATGGTCTCAAGGGGTTCTTACTTTGTAATAAGCTAGTGGGTCTGCAATTGTAAATGTTAGCAAGTCCTTAGTGAAGAGCTTTTACAACGAGTGTGCAGTAAGTCAATTATAATTAGCTATTAATGAATGGGATTTGGTCCACTTTCTCTGCAGAGCTTTTCCAGAAGTTAAATGGTCAGATGGTCCACTGGAGAGGTCTCCCTGAAGAACCTAGGTTAGCAAGCATTATGCTTGAGAAGGATATATAGCAGCCAAAGGGATTTTCACAACCTGGCAGCCCAGAAATTGTTCCTTGTAATGGTTTATAATGGATGTATAGTGTTATAAGTTAGCTTCTGTTTATAAAGATGGCCTGTGAGTCTGTATAGATGTTCTTTTTAAGTTAATGAATATAAGAAAATGTTTCCCTATACTGACCTCAGTATGTGCATGTCAGCCAAGGGTGGAGGGCGATGCCAGAAAGATCAGGGTGATGTGATCTGATTTGATTTATACTGTCTGCCTGACCTTTATTACCTGTGTTGGCACTTGAGGAGACAGGGAGTTTGAGAGAGGCAGATGAGGAGGAGGAGGAGGGTGGTTTGTAGAGAGGGAGGATGAACTTGAAGATGAGAGGGCGAGGCAATTAGGAAGAGAAGACAAAGTGTGGGTACCTTATAATATTTGTTTACACTTAAGATCTCAGACTATCAGGGCTTTAACATCTCTCATCCCGCTGTTCAACTGAGCTTTTTTTTTTTACAGACATCAAACCATTAGTCATTACCTCATCTGTAATTGTTTCTGTTTCTCACTTTGTCTTTTTACTCCACATCTCCCTTACTGTATTTGGATCTCTGTTTCTCACCCTCTGTCTCTCTGCCTCTTCATCTCTTCCACAGTGTTAATTATTAAGTGTAGTTGTAGTTTATCTGTTGGCTGATGCTTAAGCTTCTGACAAAGAGACAAAACTCTACCCAAAGGTGGTCCTATGTGGAGATGGAGAAACAAACGTGGTAAATGGGGGAGTGCGCTGGGCCAAGCAGTTTGGAGAGAAAACAGAGTGTATGTGAACAGGAGTGGATGAGGGACTCAAAAAGGAGATGCTAGAAATTATAGAGCAAAAGGGGGAAATTATACTGCACTATATAAAGGAGGTGAGAGAGATGGAGAGCAGGAGGAGCGGAACCATGAGAAAAATAAGTGGGCTGACACGAGGGGCATAAAAGGCTGTAGAGGAAAATGAAAATAAGAGGTGATAGAAGGAAAGGCTGAGTGTGAGAGGAGATAAAGGAAGCGCAAGAAAGTGAAAGGGAGTGAAACAGAGCAGAGGACGTTCCCTCTGTGTGTCATCGCTGATGTTGAATGATGGGCCAACCGTGGAAATACTCCCATCTCATCCATCAATCACACCTTGACCCTGCATCATCCCTTGTTTAACTACACGTGTGCAAATCTATGAGTGTGTGTGTGTGTGTGTGTGTGTTATTTAAGCTGCTGTAGCATATACAGATGGAGCACGATTAAAACGACCCTCCTCAGCACTGAGGTGATGAAGGATGCTCCTGCAGGAGTTGAGCTGGAGGGCATCATTTTCTGTTGTGTGTTTGCGAGTGTATTAATTGTGTTGTGTTCCAGTCCAGACAGGATGCAAGCGGATTGTCAAACTCAGAACTCAGTTCCCACGGTGAGATGGGGGTTCCCATGGCAACCACAGCAAAGGGAGGACACTGGATTACCCTCTCCCTCTCTCTCTCCTTCTTCCTCTCCTGTCTCTCCCTCTGTCTCAAGGGTGATAAAGGATTGTACTCTCATTAATTTTTCCTCCCTCTCGAGAGCAAAATGTCCGGGAAGGGGACGCACTGTGTGTTTGGGTGTGTGTGTGTGTCTGAACATGTGTCTGTGTGTATGTATCCATGTGCATGCTTCAAGCTTTGTTATGTATGCGTCCTTGGCTCTTGAATACATTCCTGTCATCCATTCAGCAAGTTTCACATTTTCACTCGCATGTGAGTGTGTGCATGTTTGTGTGTGTTTGCATGAATTCAGCACAGTCTTTTTTACCTTCCTACTTCAGACCGGTTTCCCTTTTGAACTTCTGTTTTTTCACTTGTGAACCGTGCTTCTTCTTCTAGTTTGACAGCAAGCAACACAAACGCACAAACACACACTTGAACTGACTTCAGACATCTTACGGTGCAGTCTGTTTCATGGTAGCGGCTTTTGTGGTTGTGATTGTTAAAGTTGTGCTTGTATATGAAGCTTGATACATTTTTCCTTATTACCTCCGTCAAGGAGATTATGTTTTCGGTTTTGTGTGTGTGTGTGTGTGTGTGTGTGTGTGTGTGTGTGTGTGTGTGTGTGTGTGCTGGTTGGCAGGATTATGGACAAATGGCTGGATGAATCATCAGCATACTTGGTATAGACATTGGTGGGGACCAACCCTAGAAGTGATTAGATTTTGGCTGAAAAGGGTCAAAGGTCAAGGTCACATAAAAATGAAATCACAAAGGTCTCTCTACATTTAACAAGGGGCAAAACTTAAAAAATTCATATCTCTATCAAAAGTTAAAAAATTATTTGAAATGTCTATCACCAGATCAATTTTCATCTTGATCTGATCTGGATTCTGGATGCGACGGCCATTTAAAGTTACCGTTGAAAACCACTTTAATTCCTATTTTCTGCCATAACTTGGCCTGTAATGAAGATAGAATCCTGAAATGTTCAGGTACGATGCACAGTATAACAGCCTGTCATACCCTAAAAGATGATCTAGATCAAGGGTTTCAGGACACATTGTGTTGTTCTGGATCTCGTCTTTCACAAGGGACCCATTAGTGTAGGCGAATGTTGTGCCTTGGCGGAGGTGCACGTGCTCTCTGAGTGCTCTTGTTATTACAAGTTTCTACCCTTAAAAAGTAGATTTTTAGGTTGGTGCACTCGGTTCTGTTTTTGAAAATTAGATTTTACAAGCTGCGTAGCACAAGACACACACAGAATTGTGTGTGTGTGTGTGTATGTGTGCACTCAAACAGATATTTTGTATGTTCAGTCTGTTGATGTTTCATACAGTAGGGTTTCCTGAAGCATGCCGAGAGCTATAGCCTAGAAACAGAAAGATGGCAGACCGAAAAAAAAACTTGAATAAATGATTGGGGACACATAATGAATGCAGCTGATTTCACAAAGGGCACGAGGGGTCACTGAATGGTTTGATTAGTATGAAAATGATGTGAATTATATGCCGTGGCCTTCACAGTTACCAGATCTCAATGGGAGATTTTGGACAGGTACGTTAAACAACACTAATCACAGTCAAATCACCGAATGAAGAAATATGTTTTTGGAAGAATGCTGTTAATCACTGTAGTAGAATTTCAAAGGTGTGTAAGCTAAATACCAAGGAGCACCGAGGCTTGTGATAGCATAACACTGTATTAAAACACTTCCTGTTTATTGCTTTACTTTTTTCCTTTAAAGCTACAGTATATAACTTAAGGTAGCACTATCATGAAACTCCAAATTCAATCCACTCTGCTCTGCCCAGCGCTCCCTCCCCCTGCTCCACTACGCTCTACTACGGTCTGCGACACTCCGCCATGCTCTGCCCAGCTCTGCCCAGCTCTTTGTCCTGGTGAAATTAAATGAAGTGAGACTGTAACAAAACTTACTGATCATGCAGAAAAAAATGAAAAGCTCTGATTGGTTAGAGAAGTCAATCCTGCTCAAAACCTTTTAGAAGCTAATACTTCTGCGCTGCTGCCAGTGCTGATCAATGAGTCAGGGTCACAGGAGGCTTCGACAGCACCTCTCCACATTAAGACAGGTTTAAGTTGTCACCTTTCTCTACTTCTATCAGTTGAATCACTCGTAGATCCTCTATCAACATGGACTGGCAACAACTGGTGCTACTTTTAAAGCTTGGACTTGGGTGGTTTGTTAACATCTTGGCAATGGAAACTCTAATTGGGAGGTCAAGCTATTACCTATATTTCACAAGCACAGCTTTGTGTGAAATCTGTTAATATTCAAACTCTGCTCGCTGTGTGTGTTGACCCTTAACCTTGT